CTTCATGCGTTACTTTTGTGTTTACCGCAAATTAAGAAAATCTACCATCAAAATAGAAATAGAATCTCTATTTAGTGGGTGCTAACGACTGCATTGTGAAGGCCTATCAAAAGTATTTATTAATCTGGAACAACGGAAACAAAGCGCGATTCAGGAGACTACAGCGCCATCTCTTGACCATTGGTGTAGTAGAACCAAAAACCACATCTTTATTTTTTGTAATAAAGTAACAGTTATAGGTATTCATATTTATAATATTTATCCACATGTTTCTAGTTTGTATATTCGGAATACGTGTTTGAGTTTCATACAAGTGCAAATCACATATGTTCTAATAAATTATATTCAGTAGCGATTTTAATTGAATATTTTGATTATTTATTTATTTTTTCAAATTAAAACTGAACTTTATTGACTGTGTCCTTTTCCAGACTTTTTATTAATTTATTGTAATTAATTATTTGCATGCAATTAAAAACTAATTTTAAACGATGCCAAAGAAGGATAACTTCTCACGCGCCTACATAAGTACACGCACCCATTTTTTTCTATTAAATCAATTTATAGTAAGTATTAGAACATAATTATTTGCTTCAAATGCGTTAAATTTACAAACATTTATTAGATACCTATAAAAAAAGGACACTTTACGTACTATAAGTATTTATTATGCATTTTTTCACGGAGCTTTGCGGCATCTTGATTTTCAACAGTCCGCGCGTAACTATGAGTCAAGTAGTGCTAGAGTCGTGTTCAAGCACTTCTTGATTGGGACACATTTTGAGCGCACGTGTTGCATCTAGGGTATTTAATATCGTTGCATAAAAAAGTATGAAACTGATGTCAATTTTGACAATTGTTTCACCTAGAGCGTAGTTTGGAACGCACCCTGGTAAACGAATGCAAATACCCACTAAGGTTTTTGCGCGATTTTATCAAAAGCGGTATTTTTCCATATAGAAATCTCATCTAATATTCCCAAAAGTTCAATGTGGAAATTATATTTGTTAAGAAAATCCACTTCCAAACGTATTGCGGTCATTGTTTAGTTTGTTTTTGGCTCATTTGAAAAACTGTAGAAGAGAGGCGAGATGAAGTAAGTTAAATAAAATGTGGTTTTGATTACTGAAGTTTTAATTTATATTAAAATCATTTCTGTTTTTTGCAGTGGTGTCACAATCGTCGCATCCCTCTGTAGAGCAGCTTAATGTTTTGATCGAGTTCCTAGCAGCTAATAGAGATTTAGCTAAAGATTTCTCTAAGAACCTCAGTGCCAAATAAACCTATCATTGCTAGCTCCAACAAATGAGGCATCGACATGCAAAACATTGAGATCGGCATGAACAATCTGTAACAAAATATTTACAAAATTGAATTCCAGTCTTTTAATTTATCTTTACATAAATTTATATATTTATATGTTCATGAATCATGACAAGTTTTAAGAAAGTAACAAATAGATGAAAATCAGTTAAAGGTGTAGGTACTTACTACTTGAACATTTCTTGCATGCTTACTTTTACGACAATAATACCGTTCTTCATTTTCTTTGGGTCGTATCATGGTGACAAAGATACCATCTATGCAACCAACAACTCCACGTATTTGAAATTTCTCAAAAAAACTGTAACAAAGGTAAAGAATAGCTCATTTAATATTTGCTTTACTAAAGAAACTGCCAATAAAAGTATTTTTTTATGATTTCATTACCTAAAATACTTTAAGACACGGGCTCATAGATTTTTTAGAATTCTAATCAGAGTTTACTTACTGTTCCTTTAACACTTGGTGTTGAGATGCATTTCGCAGAAATGTTATATATTTTTACGATGTCTGGATGACTTAAAATTGAGGCAATTTCATTTATACTTCTTGACATTAATATTAAGCACAAGGCAATAGAGTGAGATCTGAAAAAATAGGTGGACATGAGTTTTTGAATTATTAAATAAACAATGAGACCTACATTAAAAATACTTACTTTAAAAGATCTTCTATAAACAAAACTCGTAATTTATTAGCAAAGTTTGTTTGATTGATTACCATAGCTACACACTAAGTCACTTTGACATAACAATTCGAGTGCGGATCCGAAAGTGAGTGTAAAATTCGTTACAGAATGCCATTAAACTTCAAATCCTTGAGCATATTGTCAAGCTATATCCTGCGTTAGTTCATTTCACCGCCACTCTCGCCTAGTAGCGCTAGCGTTGATTCTCACTTGACTACAGAATGCCAATGATAAAATCCGAAACGGATCCGCGTTCGAAAGTGAAATGTGTCTTTACAGAATGCCACTCCTGTAGTGCAAACTACAGTTTTTATTATCAGGCTTGTATTAGGTATACATAATGACTATTTTTTGGTTAAAATACTGGTCCGATTTGTAAAAAATATTTTTGTGTTGGATAACGCATTGATCGAGGAAGGTTATGGGATATATAACATCACAGTACGACCATTAGGAGCGGAGCATCGATTAAAAATGTTCCAAAAACGAGTAAAAATATTCCATTTGTGAGCTTCCGTTGCGTGCGCTGGGTAAACGGTTAAAGTAGCACATATATCATGTATTGTGTTGTGTTTATGAGTTGTGTGTTTCCCTTTAAAAGTTCTATAAAAAAGTCCGCGTCAGCATATATCCATCTTTTAAGTTTGACTCACTATAACCTTTTTACCCAACTGCGCAATGCAAGAGCGCGAAACGCGACGCACAGACACTGTTTAACAGTCTATATATGTATGTATGCCAACGATATTAATATCGTTGATGTATGTACCTTTGCAGCATACTAGAGACCAAACACCTGGACCGATTTTGATAATTCATACGTCTATCGATTCGTCTTAATCATGGAAGTGCTATTAAAGATATGATAGTATCTGAAATTCAATATGAGGACAATTAGAGGCCATATTGTGAGAAAGAAAAAAATAAGTTGACGAAATATGTCGATCGAAAATCAATTTTAGGTTCCTTACGCTATTTTTCATTTTATGTGACTATTTAGGATCTACTACGTTTTAAAGTTGTATAATAACCACTTACGCTTTTAATTTCAATCTTACATTTGTATGTATCTCTATTCTTACTTATTTCTATTGTTACTCTTTTACTCAAAAAATACTGAATGGATTTTAATGAAACTTAACAATAAAATAGCTCCTAAATAATAATAAAATAGAGATAATAATTTATGTAGTTATTGAGTGAATTACCCAAAATATAACATTAAGTGTCACGTAATATGGAAAAAAATCTCCCATCTGCGTGCCCTTTTGGCGAAAGCGTAACAAACAAACTAACTTTCGCATCTATAATATAAATAAAATAAATATATAAGTACTTTCAACACTCACACCAATTAGCCTAGCCCCAAAGTAAGCACTGTTGGCTTGTGTTATGGGATACTAGGGTAACGGATAGAATACATATACTGATGCATACATAAGTATATTTATATTGAAATACATATTAAACATTCATGACTGGAGTACAAATGCTCGTATTAATCACACGAACATCTGCCCCCACCGGGATTCGAACCCGGGAATTCTCGAGTAGGCAACACCTTGAAACCCGGCGTATAAACCATTCGGCTGCGGAGATCGTCAAACAAATAATGACAATAATATTATTATACTATTGATCCGCCCCGGCATTGCAAGGACGAAATTTATTTTAACGGGATAAAATATAGCCTATATCAGTCGTATATATTGTAGTTAAAAAGACAATTTTTACTATTAAAAATTCCCTTTCGGAGAACTTGTCAGAGAGGATTTTTTTCAAGTTAAGTTAGTCAGTTACTTAAGATTTATAAATCGAGCAGATTAATCAACGATATTGAGATTAATGCTTGAAAATATAATAAATAATGTAGCTACCTTATGGTGAATGAATTTTCTCAGTAGTTTGAGCGATTATTCGCTACAAAATTACAACTCTTGCCTCTTTATAATATTAGTTTAGATGGTAGGGATAATAATATTTAATAGGTGAAAAAGATTTAAAACTTAACTAAGTAATAAGTTTATTTGATTATATTTTGTATCAGTTACTACACAGCATTATCAAAAAAATTTGCTCCATTCTTGAATATCTAATGGGTCCCAAAGTTAAAGTAGCTTTTTTCCATACTTAACAGAATTATAGACTACTGGAGTTTTTTTTCTCTTCAGTTTTTATTTGAATATTTAAGCAGTGTCGGGTTTTTTGATTTTTTGAATTTACATTTTTCCTCAAGTAAGATTCATGTAAGTTGATTTTTCTGAGAGATAAACTTTTTAATGTACTTTAAATTGTCATGTTTGTGTACGATAGCGCAATAAATAAATATTGTATTCTAGCACATAAATGATAGAACTTTTATTCTGATAATTAAAGCAATTCGTGCAAAATGATTGCCTAACCATTCCAAAATATCGAAAATTCACAACGTTAAATTCACAATTTTCACTTCTGCCGGCACTCCCGGAGTGCAACCCGTTTTTTTTTAAATCGGTTCAGTAGTTTCGGAGCCATTTCAATACAAACAAACAAATAATCAAATCTTTCCTCTTTATAATATTAGTATAGAAGTATAGTTATCTTGAGTGCTGAACTCAAACCCCCTTATTAATAAACGCAGAATAAGCTTGGATTAGTTACTCCATGTTTTGTCTCTGTTGACATTGAATGACAAATGTAGGTAATTTGAGTGATATGAACAAAACACGGCGTGACTAGTATAAGCTTATTCCTAGTTCAACTAGTCAGTTTAAACAGTTCAAAGTTAAGTAATAAGTTTTTTCCGCCATTGTGGGAAAGTCGCTACAAGCTTGTTTCCGTGAATATTCCAAATACCCTATACAGGGTAAAGTGCAATTTGAGGTATCATTGCGAAGTCACAAGAGGGACATTTAATTTATATTATCTGTCTTATACACCATGCGTTTTATACAATGCCACGAATTAATCATATTACTTTCTACATAAAAAAAAAGAAAATCGTCATTACCATAACAACAGTAATAGACATCCCGGCAGCGACAAGGTAAGCTGCAAATCTCTCCAGTTGGGCATGGCCAGTGACAGGAGCGACACGATGATATAAGACAGCGGGAGCGGGAAGAAGTTGCAGACGCCCGCAATGGTGACCCATTTCCCGCCAACCAACTCCACTGACAGCACGAAGGCTGCGTACACCACGGAGACTGACACCAAGCCCATGACGAGGCGCACTATGACATATTGCAGGTACGATCGCACCAGCAGCGAGAGTATGGCCAGAGCGCTCTGTGTCACCAGCATGTACATGAGAATGCGCTTGCGGCCGAACCTGTGAATTTGGAAACGTTAAACAATTATTATGAGGAGCTGGCTAACAAAACGGTATATTTACATAAAATTAAATTTTACAGGAACTGTATAAAACTGAATGACATACCTCCAATGAGTTTTTGGCAATGTTTTTAATTTATAAATTTAGTAATTTAACACTGGTTAACAAAACCGCCTAGGTTTTGATTGAAAATTATTTGAGATTCAAATTCAACGGACGCGAAACCTCCGGACTGTTAAAAAAAGGGTAGTTTGACCAGATGCGTAATTATACCGTTTTGTTCGTCAGCTCCTCTATTACGAATTTGATTTTGCAATTGGCGACTGGTGGATAAACGTTTAATATTTTCTGTATGCCTTTTACTTAATGAATACAAAATCATGTCGAAAACTAACCATTTATCTCGGAACAAGGTATTAAGAATATAACAGTTAATTTAATGTAGCTTTATAAAACGGGTATTAAAATCTTATTTGTGTTATTTAATGTGTCGCTTGTCATTTCAATCTCGGTAACGTTAAACTAATGTAGACGGGAATTTTGAAATAGGCTAGTTGACCCTTTTTGGAAAAAGGTTTTAAATGGTTAATAAATGTTCTATTAGACCGAAAAAAAATGTGTTGTATTTTTTTGAAACCTAGAAAGCTAAAAATCTTTAATTTTAAAATAGACTTTTCATGGACATACAAAAACGCTGTCGGCCATTTTAGTCTATAGATTATCTATGCTATGACGTGAACTGTGGTAAACAAAAACTCGTAAACACGTAGAAAATTACTTTTAACTGAGTTTATAATAAAAAAAACATAATTTCTAATAAATACCACGAAAAATAAAGTAATTATCATTACTGTATTGTACGAGAATATAAAAACACATCCTTGAAGACTCCAGGAAAGTTGTGGATTAAAGTGCCGAAAGAAATTAACCTACGCAACTTTATTACACTTATTCATATGTTGTATCAGTTTTATGTTTATTACTTCATTGTAATACTAAATGCACTGTAATTACATAGATGCCTTGTCGTTTCTCTGCTCCGCAGAGCAGAAATCGGGGTTTAGTGCAACAAATTCACCAACCATCAATTCTTGGCAGATTTGTGCTTTCTGCTTTCACAAAGCCGGCATCCATAATTAGTTTAGTCAAAAAAAACTAAGTTAACTGTTTTTTTCTTTCCTAAAGTTAAGTGTTTTAAGATAAATTTAGTCAGACGAAAGAATCCACCTACAGTAACACACGAATGACATTTAGTTGTTTACCACAAGAGACGTCAAAATCATGGCGGATGTGGCGAACAGCGTTTTTAGTGTTTAAAAAATATAGACTAAAAAAAAATTTTTTAAATTAAATTTCTACAGCAATCTTCTGCTTTTATGAAGTGAAATCGATATATTAAGGTTCCTTAGACTAAACACTTTAAGAAATAAACATTTATTTAATACAATTCGACATGAGTAAACTAGCCTATTAGCATTTTATTAATTGCGTGATTATAATAACAAATATAAAAAAAGTTTTGGTAGAATTTGGCATTGCGGACGCACCATACTACCGTTGGGTGATGTACCCCAATGACAATGACATTTCGCACTCGCAAATTATTCGAATTCGATATTAGTTCGTGCTAGGGGTACTGTTATTAACATTAAACGTCAACTGTCAGGAGTTAAATAGAAATATTCTCATAACTTTTGATTAGAGCTCATAATAATAATTCAAGCACCATTTGAGAATTCATTATCCAAAAAAGTCATATTCCTCATAAAACTTGCGACTGAAACGTAGATAATAAATACCTAAAGAATATATAAAAACTACAGTTATCGGGAATACACTTCACAACTGAATTGTATGAAACGGTTAACACAATTTCAATATATGTTTTTTTGATTAGCCCTAAAACCACTTGTTATGGCTTAACATATAAAATGTACTCACACTACTATTATTACTATGTTCCACATTCTCGTCACGTAAATCACGTGTTACCAGTTCCTTGTAGTTAGATCATTAAATTAACACTTCTTTATGATGCCAAAAGTTTTTTACAGTTACGGGTAATGTATTCTAGTATGTTGCCCAAAGCACGGACCAGGATCGCGGTTGTCATACTACAAAGATTATATAAAAAAGTTGGAAAATCGTAGCATTAGGATGGAAGGTGAGTTACTGAACGAATTGCGTTTCCGTCGGTGAGTAAGGTTCCAGGACTTCACGAGGTAGAGGATTGGGTCAGAGTAGGCAATGGTGCGAGTGGTATTTCTGGTACCGCTCGTTTGCCATCCTTTTAACATAAAAAAATAACTTACTTATCCGAGATCCATCCACCAACAACGCCACCGACGCCAACGCCGATCAAAAACACCACTTCTGCGAGACTCGTAAGGCTCGCTCGGTCGCACACCAGATTCCATTCCGATATGATGGTGTCCCCGACTTCCGACCTATCGTAGTCCCACGCCGTACATTCCACAAAGGAGTTTATTACTGGAGCGGTGTGGTTCAAAATGCTCTCCACTGTCACTCCGGGTGGTATAACTCGAACGCTACACGCGTCTACAGGCTGGCTGTAATTGATCCACTCCGTTAGAGGCAAACTTGAGAAGTTTTCTGGCATCCGGCACCAGAAGTTTGTAGCTCTCGCCTGGAAATAAAAAAAAATGTTATAGTGGGATGTTATTGCGCGAAGGCTGAAACAGACTGTACCCTTAGTACGAGTTTTACAATTACGAAAACTATGATAGTTTTCGTAAGCTCGCACTCGTACTAAGGGTACTGATTTTATTGTTTTCATTTCAATACAAATAAACAGTGTTTAAATTCTATCATTAAATCATTTGCGTCTTCTTTAATTTTAAGTATATTTGGTTACTTTTCACCAAAATGGACATAGAAACATAATTTACAATTACGAAAACTATGATAGTTTTCGTGAGCTCAAACTCGTACTAAGGGTACTGTTCAAAAATATTACAAAGTGATATAAAAAAACAGTTGATAATAATATTATTATTTTTTTGTGGGAATGGAATTGGACGATAATGTAGAATATAATTATAATTTAATATTGTAGCAATGTTATAGTGAGGAGTTCCGTGACGCAAGTGGTAAGCGCTTTCAGCTGCGATCGTTGAAGTTAAGGTCGGTTATTGGATGGGTGACCAAAAAGTTACTTTAAGCCAACGGCTTAATCCCGGCTGCATCTGCAGTCGTTAGCACCTGCAAATCCGCACTGAGCCCGCGTGGTGGGTCACGGCCCAGTCTCCCCATTCCAACCATGGGGAAGGCCTGTGCCGCAGCAGGGGGGACATTAATAGGCTGGTGATGAATGTACCAATAATATCCCATACCTCAATGAGGCGACATTTGATCATCATCTCAGACTAAAAGGATGGTATAAGATGATATCCAGAAATAATACAGATATATTCCTAACACATCATCGGATATAGTGTTTCGAAATTGCATTGCTTATCCATTGATATACTACAACTGGCTGCAGAGAAAAGTCAACATCTGGCGGTTACAAATATATTTTCTTTTTATTCCAGTGATATGTCTGTCATAGTTCAATGAATAATTTAAAGTAACGACTTTCATAGCGAAATGTTTCACAGGCGAGTAGCTTGCTTATTTATTTTCGATGTTATACTTGTGTTGTTGAACTTGTCTATATTGTCTTTGGTCAAAGTGCTTGTTGAAAATTTATATATCTATGCTAGTATGAAAACGGCCATAAGTAATTACTCACCGTGAATGTGGGTAAATAAATGTGGAATGTGCACGGGAATGAGAACAGCGACAACAGAAAGGTGATTAGCAACTGCCAGCGACCATAGTTGCCAATAATAGAGGCGACCGCGTCTGGCTCCTCTTCGGGCGTCGACGGTCTCGCCTTCTCTTTGCTCGACACTTGACTGGGTATAACTGGAAAACAAAAGACGGTGTCATGGTTAGTGATGTCACAAATTATGTTTCACGTGAAGCCCAATAGATGGTGGTGGTCAGGCATCTTGCATTGCATCTTCACTCAAGTTGCTTGCGATTCCTCAAGATTTCTCTGAGGTGGTCTAATGCTATCAGATGGGCCCCCAGAAGAGTCTTTCTATGTTCTGGCGTGCCATAATGTCTGTTTGCGACATCATACTGTCTACCTAAAAGCTTCGTAGACTCTTATACTTAGTTAAATTAGAAATGGGGACTGCAAAGGACATCGACGAAATCGGCCCTAGCATGCCCAAAAGAATGTCCTTCACTATTATTTTTATATTATTTTTTTAACTTATTAGCAATTAATTATTGTAAACGGACAATCTGTTTAAGAAAATAAAAAATAAAAGTTCTGTTACTAGATACTACAGTCTGTTCATCCAACTTGGCACTCCTTTTTATTGAAAATACAGCATTAAAAATCAACTGATAACTAGATTCAATAGGTTTCAGTCTATAATAACGATTTATTTTAATAGTTTATTGGCATCGTTAATATTTTATTATTAAACGGGTGATTCTGTTAAAAAGTTGTGTCAAGATTGTTTACCTTAATGAATGCAATATAGGCGACCATAGGTATTTATCAACATAAAATTAGAACTAGGTACCTTAGTCAATAATAGTTATTACTAGTATTTATATTATATTTATAAAAAGATTATTGCTGAAATTATGTAAATATAGTTTATACTCCCATCCTATGTAATATCTGTTTATTTTTATGAAAATCATATTGATAACCAAGTAAATACCTAATTACCGATAGTAAAATATAGAAACAAGTAAATGGAAAGACTGAACATTTCATTTGAAAAGAAATCTATTATTACCTACTACAGGTAGGTATAGGTATCATAGGTGCCAACTGACAACACTCATAAATCAATATGAATATAAGCATTTATTATTTTTATTATTAATTGCATTTTATGTTCATTTAATGCATATTATTTCAGTGCTTACATAGAGGTAAAAACTAAATCTATTCAGAATATATAAAGTGTACATCTTTTACGATTAAGTATAATAATTATAACCTCAAAATCTAATACATTCTGTAGTATGCCACTGTTCCTCAAGTTGTCCGTATCTCAACAAATGCTTAATTAGAGTTTATGAATGATTCCGAACACAACTAGCATTTTCTCATTGCTGGGCGTTATAGGGCATTCAATGTATGGGGAACGAGCAATGTCCTTTCATCACCTTATTTTATCTCGTAGACACAATTCAAGTACGTGCTGTAATGCGTGTTTTCAACGCTTAAAAATTAAAAAAAAATACGAAACAATATTTTTTATTCAAATTTAAAAGTTATTGAAAGGTCCCTAGTCTCTCTTTATATATTACTTTTCAGAATATTATATTTTAAAGGGGGTAAGTATACTTTATTCCATATCCTTCGTATATTATAAATGTGAAAATTGATGATAATGGAAAATTAAATTTTAATTCTCATTTTCACCTTATGCTATTTACATATTAAGCAGATTGATACAAACGCAGATTCGGAAAAAAATAAGTTAACCAAATCACTAATTCTACGCGAACGAAGTGGCGGGCAAAATCTAGTAAGTAATAAGTATGTTCTATGTACAATATCAAATTTGGTTTAAATTAGGCATCGACGTCGACATTTAATACTGACAAGGAAACAAGTCGAGCAAAACAGTTCCTTAATATTTTATGATCAGTATTATGACAGTAGGTATGTAACTTAAGATAATGTTTATTATAATTTGAAAACCTATATGAGTGTACCTAAATTGTTTTTACAAAGGTCGTCGTGTGCAGATACCGTAAATAACTTATCATGTTCTTTTCAATATCGTTGCAATGATTTTTAATATTTCACTCATCAAACCTTAACCTACTGTCAATGAATTTGATCCCTGACCACCATTAGCTTATTATTTTACAGCCATTTCAAAACAATAAGATATAGTTTTCCTTAAATGTACGTAACCTTGAAAACATACTTATTATTTTCTTAACAATCATATTTAACGTGACATATTTTGCCGTCTTCCTGTAACATAATTTTGACATTATAATAGGTTGGGGAAAAAGTCTTTTCGCAATATAGTATGTATGAACTTGTTATATAATATCTTTGCCTATGTCATTTGTATCCGGCTGGTTTTGGTATGAATAAAAAGTTAATATTTTAAAGAATATTATATTCCAAATTCAAATAGGAAATATGTGTGTTTTTTTTTTTACTGTTAAGATGAGTAAATCTAATAAAAAACAATCAATACATTCTAATATTTTACTACAAAAAAGAAGAAAATGCAACGCAAGCCGTGAAAAAAAAGTGATGTTCATGGCCACCACCTAGCAATGTCTGTGAGAGTAGCACAAATTTGGTTTAAGCGTGTTCAATCCAGAAATTTTGATGTCAAAGATGCACGTCGCTCTGGTCGAACTGTAATGGATAAAATAGATGCCATTTTTGAAAAAGTCGAGCAAAATCGACATATCTGTTGTTACGACGTAGCTGAAGAACTGGGAATTGACCACAAACCAGTTTTGGAGCATTTGAAAAAAGCTAGGTGCACAAGAAAGATCGATATTTCGGTGCCTCACGAGCTCACTGAAAGAAACTTAAGAACCGTGTACTCATTTGGGATTCTTTATTACGACGATTACGTCGTTCGATACGGTTTCATTAGAAACCGAACCATTTTTTAAGAAGCTGGTAACTGGTGATAAGAAGTGGATCACGTAGGTACGACAAGAACGTGCGAAAAAGGTCGTGTTCTTATAATTTCAAGAAATCGAACGAGTTTCTGTTACATTTCCCATTTAAAAAGTGATTCCGAAATTCAAAGTACAATTCCAATTTTATTCATATAAACACAGTTTCTTTGTAATTAGAAGGTCCCAAGTGCAATTACGTGTTCTCTGCAAAGGAAAGCTTGTGCGAATCAATTTGTTCGGTAGTAAATACAATAATAGTACTTATTAGTAGTTTGTTCTATTCTACTGTTATTTATATATTAATTTATATTTTTTTTTAATAAATCTTTTGTTCTAGCTTGCAACAAGGCAGTGTTACCGCTTTTACATGCAGAATCAACCTCTAGTAAAAAGTAAGGATAATCCGTACCTTAGCAACAGTTATTAAATAAAATATTCTGGCAACAAAGCTCTAATACTTCTTACTGAAGTTTATTATTGAAACTGTCCGTATAAGAACTTATATAGATATATTGTGTGTAGGTTTTTTTTCCTGAAGCAATTGTTTCCTTTTTTCTTTATTATCTCGTTGTAAGCGGTTAACACATCGATAATACTGCAAATGGTATGGGATTTATGAATGAATTGAGGTGTTGTTATTTATTAAATGATTTCAGTTTGTTTATTATGTAGGTGATGTATTTATTATACGCGTTTATGTATGATTCCGTACTTAAAATTTGCAGTAGGTTAATTTGGTTCTGTAGATTGGAGTTTTCTATGAGATAACCCTAGCTTTGGGTACTGGTGTTGTCACAAGGGCAGAAGTCGTCTTGAGTAATGTGAAATCTGTGTATTTATTCTTTATGATAACCGTAGTTTGTGAGCAATTGTCTTATGGCAAATCTAGGGGAAGTTGGTAGAATTTTCTTTATTAGTGTAGTTTCGGCGTAGTGGTCTTGGGCGGCGGTGTGGAGATTTGAGGGATTTTCATATTTGACGTTGGAGATGGGAACAGAATAATAGTCGGGGTTTGAATGGGAGCTGCAGAGACAGCGTATTCGTTGCCAGGAAAACCTGCGTGGCCTTTGGTCCAGTAAAAGCAGATGATGGTGTTATTTTGTTTTGCCTTGAGGAGGTGAGCTTGAGTTCGTACTGCAAGTGGTTGGTTGGAGCCGGGATTCTTCAACTCCATGAGGGCAGATCTGATGTCTGAAAGGTTGGCGGCCTTGGAGACTTTGTTGTGGGTAAGCCATAGGCATACTTGTACAATAGCTAACTTTTCGGCTCGGTATACCGAGCAGCAGCTAAAAAGATTTTTTTTTGTATGGGTTGACCCGTTGGGCTTATGCACCACGAAGACAGCTCCGACCTTGTTATAATGGTGACTGCCGTCGGTGTAGATGTGGTGTATAGATTCGGTGCTGGTCTGGTCAAAGTTGATCTTGAGTGGTAATTTCTGAGAATTCGATGCCAGTTCTATGGAAGGATGTGGGAGTGAGTCTATAGTTATTGGAGTTTCGATTGGAATGTCATCAGAGGGGTATGGAGAAGTGTTAATTTAGATTTTTCGACTTCTGCGATTGCTAGTATTTTGTCAGGTAGGGGACTGAGTTGAGCTATCGATATTGTGGGTGCGGTGTTGATAGTTCGAAAACCTTGGATGATTTTGATGGAATGATTACAACTGCGCATGTGAATATACGCAGCGGCTGTGATCTAAATAGGAATATTAACAAATCAAATGAACTATGGGAATGAAAATTGTCAACTACCTTTATTAAGACAAACGATATAAAATAATCAAAAAAATATAAGTCACCATTTCAGATGACGCAGCGTGATATTTTTTTTTTGTATTATTAAGGTAACTTGTAACATTTGTTGTTATTAAGGTATTTTGGATTTTAAATTTTAGTCATTAAGTTATTTTTTAACCGATATCCAAAAGGAGGGGGTTCTCAATTCGTTATTATATTTCTTATTTTTTTATTGTTGTTCGCGCATATCTCTGATGTCTGTGTACCGATTTTGATGATTCTTTTTTTATTTGAAAGAGTTGATTAGCGAGATGATCCCATATAAATTTGTTAAGATCTGATAAATACTTTAGGAGATAAACAACGGACCTCCTCAAATACAAATAGTACACATAACGTGTTTGGTTATTTTACGAAATAAAAAAGAGAGATTGCAGGCCCGACGTCCATTTTTAGTAAGTTGATGTTGCTTTGGTTTATAAAAAGTGAAAA